CTCCCTTAGTTCCTTCCTACCTTCCTTAGTTTCTTCCTTCCTTCCTTAGTTTCTTCCTTCCTTCCTTAGTTTCTTCCTTCCTTCCTTCCTTCCTTCCTTCCTTCCTTCCTTCCTTCCTTCCTTCCTTCCTTCCTTCCTTCCTTCCTTCCTTCCTTAGTTCCTTCCTTAGTTCCTTCCTTAGTTCCTTCCTTAATTCCTTCCTTAGTTTCTTCCTTCCTTCTTAGTTCCTTCCTTCCTTCCCCTTTCTGAATGAATGAAAATTTATAGAAGGTTTTAGGTTGAAATCAGTTCAGACATGTCAAGGTTTCAAGTGGGGAAAATTTGAGAATGAGTCTGCCTGTTCCTCTTGGAGACATTAGATCTAGAGAATAGTCCTCTCCTTTAGTTGCCCATAAAAAGGAAGTTTCTCCTTGTCCATACGAACCAGACCTTCAGTGAGATGCTGAGAGCAAAGCAAAGGGCACACAACTCACAAGAATTTGCTTTGAGGCAAATTTATTTTTTTATATACTTTTTTTTGTATACTTTTATATCCTTTATATATAAAGTATCTATATATTTATATATACTTTATTATTACCTTGAATTGTGAGTGTACAGCTCGGTATTCTGTTGTTTCTGGATATGATTAAATCAAATGACAGATACAATTAAATGCTGTATACACTTTAAAAAAAGATTTGCTTTGGGGCTTCCTTCTTCTTCGGCTTCTGAACCTCTGTAGTTTAAGCATATCTTCACCTTCATGTCTCCTCCTAGTTGATTTTGTGATTGAATACAACATTTGTAAAACCAGGTATCCCCTTTCAATCATCTTTTCTACACACTGGCAAAACAGACGGGCAGTTACTTCTAAGTAACTTCAACACAGAGCTGGAATTTGAAACAATAATTTCCAGCTGTAACTTAATTAGATTCTTCCTGAGTCTCACCGACTCTGAACAGATTGAAAACCAAAGCAGCTATCAAACTATGCAAATGGTCAGTCCTTCTGCTCTTCTTATAGCTCCCCTTGAGGGAGGGAAAAGGCCTTTGATCACAAACATCAATTGGCAGAGAGTGGAAAAAGTCCCTGGGACTTTGGAAAGTTTGAAGAGTTTTAGCTACGAGTTCTCCTTCTCTTTTTCTCTTTCTCTTTCTTTCTCTTTCTCCAGCCTGCCCCCTTCCCCACGTCCAAGTGCCCAAAGGAAGAAAGAAGGAAAGAGTGGAAAAGTCCTAAGAGCTTTGTCCACCCAACATTGAGACCTCTGTCTTCCCCCTGAATTTGGGACTGAGATAGAGCCATGAGCTTAGCCAAGCTAAGCGTGAAAAGAAGCGAAACAGCAACAAACCTGCAAAACCGATGCACACAGCAGAGGTTATTGCAAGCAACACTTGGATTGTTCAAATCCTGGGAATGCGGAATACAGAAAGGAAGAAGGAAAGATTAGTTGATTAAATGGACTATGAATGATTAGCCTGACTTCCAATGCGTCAATAATACTGATTGCTGTTATACAGTGGAGAGTAAAATATGGTGAATTCATTTCCAAAGCTAATTGGGAGTCCTGGGCTCAAGACCTAGTATTTTAGTTTCGCATATGTTAAGCTGTAACATGACCGATGTAATTTTTGGCACATGAATCCTATTGTGGCTTTTAAGCTGCAATTCGTGGCTTAATAGTGGTGGTGTAAAACCAGCCAATTGTGTCTTACTCAACAAAAACAGCGGTGGCGACCGATTGGGTTTGCTGTAACCCTTGTTCCCTTTGTCAGGTACGTCTATCACAGCTCGCAGTGGATGGTGGCTGGAAACACGGACCATTCGTGCATCACACCTCGGCTTTATATCCACCCGGATTCGCCCTGTTCGGGAGAGACGTGGATGAGGCAGATCATCAGCTTTGATCGGGTGAAGCTAACCAACAATGAGATGGACGACAAAGGGCATGTAGGTGTGGATTTGAAGTTGCTACTTTACAGGAAGGGAGGGATAAGGGAAGAAAGTAGGGCCAGCTCTATCCATAGCTAGAGCAAGATGGCTGCCTTGGGAGACTTAGTAGAAGAGGGAAGGGAGGAAGGGAGAGAGGTGGAAGTAGGGAGGGGAGTAAGGAAGAAAGGAAAGAAAGGAGGGAGGGAGGAAAGAAGCGAGGGAGAGGGAGGAAGGAAGGAAGGAGGGAGGGAAGGAAGGAGGGACAGAGGTAGGGAGAGGAAGGAAGGGGGGGAAGGGAGGGAGGGAGGGAGGTGGGTGAGAGGGAAGGAAGGAAGGAAGGAAGGAAAGGAGGGGGTGGAGGGAGGGAGGAAAGAATTAGCCACAAAACTCAGATGACCACAAGGTGGCAGCAAAGGGCCAGTATTTTTGCTGCCATCTAGTGACAAACTGGATTTTGCAGTCTGGCTTTGATCTTCACCTTGGAAATAGATTTTGGGTGTGATAAAAATAGAGAAAATCAATGTTGATTTTTATGTCAGATAAAGGGGGATTGTGAGAGTCAGATTTTTGCTACTAATGCCCAAACAACTTAGCTGTCTGTAAAACATATCTTGGCTTGGATAGCAGTATTTTTGTCTCTCCCCAAACAGGAAAATCTTTGATGTGCCACAGGTGAGGCAAGATGGGCAGGAAACAAATCTCATAAATAAATAAGCTTATGTTTCGCTTACTAGTTATTTATTAGCTGCACTATAAGATCAAGTAGAGTGTATTATTATTAATATTTTTTTCATGGAAAAAAGGGTGGGGATCTTTTTAGAGCTGCCAACAGCTGTCTTGTTTTCTTGTGAAAAAGAAAACCAAATACTCTTTCAAGGGCATGGAAATTTGAGTTACAATTTCTCCCTGGTTTTTTTTAGTCCTAGACTAGACCTCATTAGTGCCAACCACAAGGAAAATTGGGCCTTTCATCACCCAAATTTCACATTGTTCAAGTGGTTGAACTCATATGAAATTATAGAATAACAGAGTCAGAAGGGATCTTGTCCAAGATAGAATATAGTGAAACTATTAGTTTCTGTGACTTATATTCTATAACAGGTAGTCCTTGACTTACAACCACAACTGAGACCAAAATGGGCAGCAAGACGCCTGTTAAATGAGTTTTGGCCCATTTTACAAGCTTTCTTGCCACAGTTGTTAGAATATAGAACAACAGAGTTGGAAGGGACCTTGGAGGTCTTCTAGTCCAACCCCCTGCACAAACAGGAAACCCTCTACCATTTCAGACAAATCATTGTCCAGTCTCTTCTTAAAAACCACCAGTGCTGGAGCATTCACAACTTCTGGAGGCAGCCCCTTCTCCTTAATTCTAAGTTGCTTTTCTCCTTGATTAGTTTCCACCCAGTGCTTCTTGTCCTGCCTTCAGGTGCTTTGGAGAATACATTGACCCCCCACTCTTCTTTGAGGCAGCCCCTGAGATATTGGAACACTGCTATCATGTTTCCCCATGTCTTTCTTTTCCCTAGACTAAACATACCCAATTCCTGCAACCGGTCTTTGTATGTTTTAGCCTCCAGGCCCTTAATAACCTTTGTTGTTCTTAAGGCAAATCTAATGAGGATTATTCCTAAATCACCAAGCTCAAGGTAGAACTTTTTTTAAAAAAAATCTCCAAGTTTAAGAATGATAATGTTCACTTTTTTCTGATTGTTTTTCCTCTTCTTTCTCTCTGTTTCTCTGTGGACTACAGATAATTTTGCAATCAATGCACAAATACAAGCCCAGAGTCCACATTATTATCCAGGATTCCCGATTTGATCTTTCCCAGACCCCATCTTTGCCTGCAGCTGGTGTTCAGACCTTTTCTTTTAAAGAAACCGAATTTACAACTGTCACCGCCTATCAAAACCAGCAGGTAAATTAACCTGCCCAGAGGTACAAGCAGGTTTTTTGGGAGCAGATGGGTGACAAGTATGATATTCACAGTTCTTCCTTTGTTGTTTGTCTGCAAAACATCCATAGATCACAAAACTGAAGATTGACCGGAATCCCTTTGCTAAAGGATTTAGGGACCCTGGAAGAAACAGGTAAAAAAAATTGCAGTTATTTGACTGATGAACTATGGATTGTTTAAAGACTTTTAAATGGACAAAAGTACATCTTTTTGTTCATTAATTGCTTGCGTTATGAAAAAAAACAACACCATAAATATGTCATCATTAATGACAATGGCCTATAGCTTTTCAGTTTCCCCAGGATATCCTGTTTTAATGGTGCCTTCAAATTATCCTGGGGAAATTGAAAAGCTACAAGCCATCATCATGAATGACAATTTCTAGGAAACAAGGCAGCTATGTCTTGACTTTGAAGACAATTGCTATTTTTTTTAGTTCAGTAAGTACATTTTGGACATTGGATCTGAACAATAACACCGAATACGAGCAATAAAAACAACAATAGCTATTAGATTAGAAAGCTGTGGTGGTGCAGAATTGCAGACTAACTCTGCCGACTGCCAGCAGTTCAATCCTGACCGGCTCAAGGTTGACTCGGCCTTCTATCCTTCCGAGGTCGGTAAAACGAGGAGCCAGATTGTTGGGGGCAAGAGGCTGACTCTGTGAACTGCTTAGAGAGGGCTGTAAAGTACTGTGAAGTGGTATATAAGTCTGAGTGCTTTGGCTAGTGCTAAAAAAAAGATGTCAAATTAGGCTGATCTGTGATCATAATAAAGCTTACTTGGATTTGATATATTATCTCCTTTTTGCTTTCCTTTCACAGAAATAGGATCGGGGCATATATTATAATATATTATATAATATATAATATTGTCACGTGATGCATACGCAGGAATGCATACAAGCATTCCTGTACAAAAGTGTGTTGTAATAGGCGTTCCTGTGCATAAAAATCTTTCTCTCTCTTTGGAAGGGAGTATCCCTCTCAAATTTCCTTTTTAACACCTTGTGAAGGAGTTTAGGGCTTTGGTTTCTACCTCTTCCATGTATAGAGATTGGCCACAATGTGGGGACATATATGGAACCCGTAAAAGAGAGCTCAAAGAGGCCATCTACGTTAAAATTGAGCAGCCCTTTCTCAACAGAAAAAGGGGAGGGATACCACACCACCAATCTCCTGTTTACAACACAATCCTTTCACCAGTTCCAAGAAGGTTCCACATCCATTTGCACTGTTTTGGTGACCCTGAGGGCACAGATTAATCTTCAATTGGCCTCAACGACTCTCAGAGAGAGTGCTAACGACCAGGTGACTGCAAAGAATATAAATCTTTCCAGTCTCCACCATTCAGTCAGAACTGAAGAAGCTTCTTGGATGAAAAACAAAACATCTTCAAGGAAAAAAAAACCAAAAAGTCCAGTTGACTTTTGGAAAAAAAAGCACCTCTACAAAATTGTATATTCAAACAATGCCTCTTCTGGATTTCTGGATCCCCAGGAGTCCTGAATTGGGCATTTCCACTAGATCTTAGTTGACTGGCAGAGATGCAAGGAAGAAGGCACAGATATTATGGTTTGAGGCTATATAGGAATTAGCTCGATACCCCTGCTTCACTACGAAACGATGTGATCGGGCTTAGTTTTGGCGGAGGAAAATAAGGGGGGAAAATTGTGCCTCTGCCTACCAGCATCCATCATTATTCATCTGGCTAACGTCCTGTCAGTGTGTGAGAGACTTGAAGGCTGTTTGGAAACTGAAACGGTATTTGCTGTGTGAGCAAGGAGGAGACAGCAAGGAGCCTGGGTGTGGCTTAACTCAACTGTTCTGTACTAAAGCTGCTTGGTGCTGTAAAACTAAAACTGAAACGCCTCTCTTCTGCTTGTGTTTTGCATTTGGAACAAATTTCTTTTCAGGTGGGGAGGGGGAGTAGAACACCTTAGCATCAGAGCCCGTTAATAATAATAATATAGGAAATATTAATGCCGTGATGGTCATTTCAAAAAAACCTCTTTCTTAGTACCTAGAAGCCAAAAGGAACCTACGTGCCAGATTTCAAGTTTGTAGACTTTACGGTTCTGGAGATTTTGTGATGATGCGTGAGGGGCATTTCGCTTTTATATATAGAGAGGGATTTGTTCCTTATTACTTCACTTCGACACCCCCAAAATGCAGCGAAATCCACCCGTGTGCTTATTCTTATGAATGAAGCTCTAGACATCTGCTTCAAGTTCCTCTCCCAATGGCCTCGTTCCATGGGAATGCAAATCTAATTTCCAACTGTCCTGTTGCAGAGGAGTTCTGGATGGACTTCTGGAATCCTATCCATGGAGACCATCTCTGACCTTAGATTTTAAGCCTTTTGGGACGGAACATCAGAGTGAGTATCGAATCTCCAATGATCTTTTTTCTTTTCTTTCTCCCCCCTCCATTTCTATGTGCGTCTCTCAAACTTTAGACTCGTTTTAGTTGAAAGGACTTCTTTTTTAAAAATATTTGGGGAGTTTGGCTGCCAAATGGGCAGTGACAATTAGTTTCTTTTTCATCATTATGGCAAAAAAAGGGAACGAGGAAAACTTGGGACCCCGAAGCAATTTTCTCCCTTTGTGAATGGTACATCGTTGTCTTATTCCGAGCTGGACTGATTAATCAAAGGGGAATGTTTGTTCTCCTTTTTAAGACTTGTCCTTTTAAATTGATGAATGTAATTGTTCAAAGCTAGAAGCCTGGATAAGTATCAAGGCTTATATTCTGAGAGAGGCAATTATATGTAGAACATTCACTTTACTTTAAACTATTCCTCCTCCCCTTCCCTCCCCTCCCCTCCCCTCCCCTTCCCCTTCACTTGACTTCCCTTCCCTTCCCTTCCCTTCCCTAACCCTTCATTTCACTTGACTTCCCTGCACTCCCTCTCCCTTCCCTTCCCTTCCCTTCCCTCCCCTTCCCCCTTTCTTTTCTTTCTCTTTTCTTCCCTTCTCTTCCCTTTCCTTTCCCCTCCCTCATCCTCCTTCCCTTCCCTCCTCT